ATCAATCAAAAATAAAGCTCATATGGTGATTCCCTTATTTCTTCCAATCCACATTTTCAACTTAAATGTCACATCTTACATTTTGAATCACTGGTTTTTCAATAAATATTTGTTTAGCAAAGCACCTACAAAGCCCGAATCATCAGAGGTTTCTTGCTTAAAATTCTGTACTCTTTAAACTCTGTACTCTTTAAAAAATTTAAGAACATGAAATTCTAAATGTACTTCTGCTGTAAATCAGCTTCATTAGTTCAGATTTTTGGATCGATTTCTATTTTCAAAGAAATGTTTTATACTCTAAAGCCATCAACTTGAAGTTGGTTTTCAATTGACTGACTGAAAAATTATATGCTGTCAAGTATTGTTTCCTCATCATGAAAAAGTTCTTTTGGGGAGTCTTTTTAAAAGCTCATTCATTAAATGCAACTGCATTGTTGTTGGCTCTTCAGCAACTTGGAGAAACATTTCAATTAGTTTAAAAGCATGTTCGCTGAGTTAAAAACAATGAGTTTAAAAATAGTGACATGAATAAATGAGTGTCACTGAATAATCACAAAAAGATTTTTTAAAACAATGCCACTACATATAAAATTGAAGTTGAGTCCAGATGAGGCTGTTTTATCAGTTTTTTACATTGTTTATAAGCACTATGAAATTATTCTTAAAGGTATTTTCTTAGTTTTTGTTTTAACATTTGTATCAATTACAAAATTAATTAAAAATAATACAGACATACAGAGCACTTGAAAACAACTTATCCCTTTGGTCTGAGAGATATGAAAGCGCTCCCAAAAGCTGCTCTTTGAATTGGACATATTCTCTTGCCCGACACTGCACCAGATACAAACATTTAGCTTCTGAATATGGGCTTTAATATAAAGATAGGACTCCAACGGGCTCCCCAGGTGGTGCTAGTGGTAAAGAACCTGCCCTCTAATGCACAAGACTTAAGAGATGTGGGTTCGATCCTTGGATTGGGAAGATCCCCTGGAGAAGGAAATGGCAACCCACTCCAGTATTCTTGCCTGGAGAATCCCATGGACAGAGGAACTTTGAGAGCTACAGTCCATAGGGTCGCAAAGAATTGGACACGACTGATATGACTTCACCCACACACACACACAGGAATCCACGTGGAGGCAGTCACATGCCCCTGGCACTGGAAAGAAAGCCCATTCTCTTTGATGTTTGTTTCTAAATTTGAGTTTTGAATCACACTTAAGGATGTACTTTGGCTCCCCTGGTGGCTTAGCAGTAAAGAACCTGCCTGCCAATGCAAAAGACTTGGGTTTGATCCCTGAGTTGAGAAGATCCCCTGGAGAAGGAAATGGCAACCCCCTCCAGCATTATTGTCTGGGAAATCCCACGGCCAGAGGAGACCAGTGGGCTACAGTCCATGGGGTTGCAGAAGAGTCAGACATGACTTAGCAACTAAACAACAACAACAAGGATGTATTTGGTCAAAAAAGAATTCATTTTTATTTAATAAACTGATTAAGTGATACTATGATTTAGGTTAAATTTTTCTGATATTTCTAAATAATTTCAAGACTAAGTTTCTAGGTTTTTTTTTTTAAATCCCAAGTGAAAATATGTTCTGAATACTCCTCCTAACACTTTCACATAAAAGAACATTTTTCCTGCTATAGTTATCCTCCACGTGGCCACATCTACCACGCTCTTCTCTGGCTTCATGTTACTTAGCTTCTTAGCACCATTCCACACAGCTGACTCTTTCTTTCTTGGCATCATGAGTCAGTCTTTCCTGGTTTATCCCTACATCAATGACCATTCCTTCTGAGTTTTCTTTGGTCACTTCAATATTCATCCATTTAATATTTCCTACATACATATAAATTTCTATATGATTCCCTGTGTGTCACCGCCTGGACTAGCCTTTCAGATTTATATCTCTGTTCATGCCATTCCCTTGAGTTCCAAACATGTGTTTGAATCTGCCTAATGGACATCTCGATTTGGATATTGAATAGGCCAATTAAGCTTCACATGTCCATAATGTACTTTTTGGCCTGTATCCCCCAAATATGCTCTTCCTCTAGTCTTATCCTCCTAGTAATGACACCCTTATGCCTATAAGTGTCTAAAGCAAAAACTAGAGGCTCATCCCTGAGATTTCTCTTCTCCTTATCCTGTATATCCCATATATCCAAAAAATCTATCAATTCAATTTACAAAACATCAGTCAAATCCATCCATTCCTCTCCTTCCTCTTTGCCAGTCCTAGAGCAAGCCACACTGTGAACTGAACAGTTCACAGTGAACAGAAATAAACTTCTGTTTTCCTTGGTCGCCTGTTTCTTTCAGTCCATTCCTCTGATGGGATGTTTTAAGAACACAAATTCTTAAATTAGAATTAAGAATTAGAATTAGAATTAGGTCAAACCATTTTAAAGTGCTTCAAACCCTAGGATAGCCTCCAATTACACTAAGGATAAATCCAAACTCTTCACTACAGTGTAGAAGATGCTCTCTCCTCTTACTCTGTGTTGTTTCTCCCATCCCCTCTTGGTCTGCCCTTCCCTTCACTATGTCCTTTCAGTTTCTAAAATCTGCTAACGTTTACCAGTCTCAGGGAACTTCACACTTGTTCTTTCTTCTGCCTGGAACCTTTTGCCCTGACCTGATGTTTTCCCTTTCTCAACCTTGGTCTCTGTTCAAATGTCACCCTCTCAGAAAGGTCTCCTGTGGTCATCTTATCCTCAGTAGCCCTCCTCTCAGTTCCTCTGTATCATATCTCTCTATATTGATTTAAAGAACTCTGCACAGTCTGCAAGTTTCTTGTTAATTCATTTATTTCCTTAGTTACTTCGGTCTTTTCCCAAAGATTCTAATCTTCAAGAAGCCAGGGACCTTGTTCATCTCATTCCCTGCTGTTTCTCCAGTACTTAGAACAAGTCTGGGGCTTCCCTGATAGCTCAAATGGTAAAGAATCTGCCTGCAATGCAGGAGACCCCGGTTTGATTCCAGGGTTGGGAAGATCTGCTGGAGAGGGAAAAAAGTGACCCACTCCAGTATTCTGGCCTGGAGAACTCCACGGATTGTATAGTCCATGGGGTCACAAAGAGTCCTTGGAAGAAAAGCTATGGCCAAGCCAGACAGCATATTAAAAAGCAGAGACATTACTTTGCCAACAAAGGTCTGTCTAGTCAAAGCTATGGTTTTTCCAGTAGTCACATATGGATGTTAGTGTTGGACTATAAAGAAAGTTGAGTGCCGAAGAATTGTTGTTTCTGAACTGTGGTGTTGGAGAAGCCTCTTGAGAGTCCCTTGGACTGCAAGGAGATCCAACCAGTCCATCCTAAAGGAGATCAGTCCTGGTTGTTCATTGGAAGGACTGATGCTGAAGCTGAAACTCCAATACTTAGGCCACCTGATGTGAAGAACTGACTCAATGCAAAAGACCCTGATGCTTGGAAAGACTGAAGGCAGGAGGAGAAGGGATCGACAGAGGATGAGATGGTTGGATGGCATCACCAACTCGATGGACATGAGTTTGAGTAAACTCCGGGAGTTGGTGACGGCAGGGAGGCCTGGCGTGCAGCAGTCCTTGGGGTCACAGAGAGGTGGACATGACTGAGCGACTGAACTGAAATGAACCAGAACAAGTCTGGCTCCACTAGGTGCACTGAATAAAGTATTTGCTGGAGAATGAATAAACTCAACTTTAACTACTTTCACTCTGTCACATACCTAGGGCAAGTTACAGTTTATAAAATATGAAGAAGCTTCATTTGGGGGGAAGATTCTTACCAGAAATACATTTATGTTTTAGCTCATTTGTCAACAAGAATCTCATAGGTAACACTGAAAACATCAATATTTTGCATGCATCATATTTACAAATTCTCCTCATTAAACCTGAGGTCCACAGCACACACCATTACCCTGCTACTAGAATAGGAAGAAGGAGGCTCAGAGAAACATTAAGGTACCTGAAGACACAAGGAAACAGATTACAGTCTTTCTGAAAAGGTTCATCCATTTGCCCTCTACTCACCATCAAACTAACAAGGCTTATTTTACGATATCATAAATAGAGAGGTGTACGGATTGTGTGTACAATTTGCAGAAAAATGTCATACAGTTTCTACCTTCTAAAAGCAGATGTGGCTTATATCATGGATTTGGAAATAAGTTCTTTAAGGTGAAAGATGACAATTGAGGGATGATTTATTAGAAATAAGAACAGAATGTATTAAAAAAGAATGAAAAGGAACACGCCAATATAGTAACAATGATTTTTGATGTTAAGATTGAGTACTTTTTATTTCTTTCTTTATAGTTAAACCTTTGATAATGTTTATGCCAACAAAATGTGCCCTTCCCACCCATACATTCACAATTAGTAAAGAACTGTCCCCTAGAATACTAAAAATGAACTCTCAAGAGAGCTCATTTAGTAAGAAGAGGAATCTTGTATTGATTTAATGAGTACAGTGATGTTTCCAAGTATCAGTGAAGCACCTTTTCCCCCTACCATTTATATGTATTATTTATTTAATATTTATATATTATTCTACTTGACTCACTACTTAGTCTTGTTGTAAGCAATAGTAGCTGTGAAATCACAGGGTTAATTTGTTCATTATAAATATTCTCTAATATACATTAAAATTAACATATGAACATTAAAATAAAAATGTGGATTTAAAAGCCATCTCAAGTTCCACCAGGAAGATACAAACAGTATATCTGGAAACTCTGAACTATTGTGCTGGTTTAAAGGAAAGAACCATAAAGCAGAGTCCCTTTCTTTCTTCTTCTCTATGTTAAAAGGGAAATTTTGTGGCAGTATAATTGACAATTCCACTTCAGAACTTGTGCACTTTAGTCAAGTGGAAAAATGCTGTCAATCATATTCCTTGGTACAATAGAAGGTGTGAACTCAGTGCCTGAAATCATCAGGAATAGAAAAGATTTTAACGAGGGTGGTGTGATGTTGGCTGATGGGTACAGGATGTATCAGAAGAGAAACTTACATTCGTTATCGGATCATTTTCATTCTCTGTCACACATCCCTGAAGATTTAAGTTGAGAGCTTTACAAATAATCATGATTCTCTTGGCGGCTTTCTCTTCAAATGGTTTGATCACAAACTCAGGTTCTAAAAGGTCCTTTTTCTGAAGTTTCAAGCTCTAAAAAAGTTTGAAAAGTTTTACTCAACAGACACCCATCATAAGAAAATAGCTTCTAAATCATAAACCACAACTGTACAAGTCAAGTTCACATCTGCTTAAAGAGAATTCTGACTTACATCTATATCTGGATCCAGCGAGAACAGATTTAGCCTCTCCATGTTTCGAGTTGCTTTGACAGTCTCTTCAGTTTCTGTGAGGTACTACAGAGAAAACGGTGTTAGTTCTTAGTTTCTACTTGGCTGGAAACCTACAGCCCAGCCCCATACACATGGCTAAGAAACAGTCCCTTAGTATTAACACTGTTTTAATATCATCCATCAACACTCTGCAATCTTACAGAAACATGCTTTTTGTTTTCTGATTGTTGTGTTTTTAGTCTAAATCTTAAAAGAAAGCATTTACATCTTTTCCATGAAAGTGATAAATAATAAGTAATTCGAGTTTATTTGCACAGAAAAATGTCAGCTTTATTACTTTCGTGAAGTCTGGGTGCAGGCTGTTCTCTGAAGAATCAGCTTCCTCCGGTGTGCTTTCACAAGTTATAGCATTATCCAGGGAATCTTGAAAAGATACATCAAGACCAGGTCATTAAATAATCCTCATGAATCACTCATTTTTCAAGCCTGCAACATATCAAAACTGGGTTAGACTCAAGAGTGATGAGGGAGGGACACTGGTGAGCAGATTCCTTCACTGTGCCCTGGCTCTAGCCCTCCATATAGTTGGAAAAACTGGGCCTGGAAATTGGATGTCCTGGTGATCATTTGGGGACACTCTTCATGACACCATCCTGTGCCCATAAGAACTCTGGACCCTTACAATTCTACATTTATACTTGGGGTTGTCTTGTCTCACTTCATCAATGTATACTAAAGCTTTCTTACATATGAAAATATTTTTGATAATTCTGACTCTCAGGCCATCAACATAAAACCTACATTCTAGCTTCAGTTAGTTAAACTCTCTAGGACTCTGTAAACATTAATATTCTAGTTGATGATTATTAAGTAAATCATGAGTGTAAAACACCTACAACAGTATACAGCAGGTGTTAAAATCAACACTGCCAGAGCTTAAACACTCTTTGGGGGACCTCGCTGGTGTTTCAGAGGTTAAAAATCCTCCTTCCAATGCAGAGGATGGGGGTTCAATCCCCGATAGGGGAACTAAGATCCCACATGCCCTGGGGCAACTAAGTCTGAGTGTCATAACTAATACCCAGTGCAGTCAAATAAATAAATTAACTAAAAAAATAAAGACTCTCTGGTTTTAATGTACCATGGTATTGTGCAAAATGTCTTAGAAGCTTTCCTTTGGGAGGAGTGACTGAGTCTGAGAATAAACTTGTCTTCCACATGACTATTAATATAAACCTGTTTTCCTCCTCTTCTTTTCACCATTTTTTCCCCTTTTTCTTGCTCTCTTCCCTTTGCCTAGAATGGATTAGAGTCTGATGAAAGAACTGGGATGGGCAGAAGAAAAATTTTTTATCTTATAAAAATCTCTGATGTCAAGCAAAATTTGTGGAACTTTCACAACTTGCCTTATCTCCATGGGGTCAAAAGCACACATGAAAGATGCTTTTCAACTATAAGGAAAGGATGCATATTTGTCATTACACAATAACATTCATTAATTAAATTTAATGGGATCTATAAAGCACAGAATCTCCCCTCTAACATCCCACTAGACATGGTCATTTTTTAAGTATTGCTGATCAATGATTCCCAGTATCATTTGCTGGATGTCGGCCTCAAATCATTGCTGGTCAACTAAAAAATCTGTGAGGTGACCTTCACTATTCAGTAAAAGTAAAGGTTTGAAGGTGATTTCCTGGAGCAAATTGCTCAGGGTTGGACGAGCTAGACCTGACAGCTACCAGGGTTACTAGCAGCTAAAAAGAATCAAATGCACAGGTCACAGTTGGCAAGGGAGAGGGGTGGTGTGCTCACCCAGCCCCAGATCTGTGAGCTCTGCACTCCTTCTGCCCTGAGGGGGTCCCTCAGGACTGATCTGCAGGATTCGGTTGAGGGTGTGGATCCATTCATCCATATCTGACTCCGTTTCAGCCGCCAACACAAAATAGGTCAGGTCATTCATTTTCAATTCAAAGGCATATTTTCTTAGTCTGTTATTCTGCAGCATAAAAAGAAAAAAGTACCAACTAAGTCTTAGAGAGTAAGAGATATTTTTTAATGGGGTTTTCCACACAAGGAAGTGACATCAAGTTAGATTTTCCAAAACAGACAAAAGTTTAGATGGGTAAGAATTATTTGGGGCTTCCCAGGTGGTGCTAGTGGTAAGAATCTGCCTGCCAATGAAGTAGACATAAGAGAATAGATTCGATCCCTGGGTGGGGACAGGCCTGGAGGGCTATAATCCATGGGATCACAAAGAGTCGGACATGACTGAGTACACCGCATCTACAAGAACTATTTTATTTGGTTTCCTTCAAGGATTTTTGTACAAAGAGATATTTTAAGGTTGTTGTTGACTGGGTGAGCATGTGGGCTCAAACATTTCATCTTCAGGCATGGGGGAAGTATATTCTAAGCTTCTTTAAACACTTGCTTTGAGTGGCTACCTTCACTTTCTCACCGTGTGTTCTGTCCACGACTCACTCCAGTTGCGCTTTTGACCCGATCATATCCCAGAGGCTGCACTCGCCAAGGTCACCAACAAACTCTACACTGCTGTACTATCCGAGGAGCTATACAATCTTTGCTGGCCTTTCAGCAGAATTGACACAGCGGCTACTTCCTCCTTCATGAAACCCATCTCTCTCTGGTTTCCATGACTACACTCTATTCCAGTGTTCTTTCCTTCTGAATGGCCATCACTTTTCAGTCACCTTTACTGGCTCTTGCTTACCTTGTGACTTGTGCTAACCTCAGCTCCGCCTTAGACTCTTTTCTTCCTTTTCCGGTCCAATGACTTTAAATGCCATCCGCATGCCAGGGGCTTCCAATCCCTTTCTCTGCCTCTGGCTTCTTCATCAACCTCCAGACTTTTGTCCTACTTGACATCTCTACTTGCATTTTGTGACCAACCCATGAGGTTTTGTTCTAGTTCGTTGGATGTGCTCCCATCATAGACTTTGTTGCTGCCACAAAGGCCTGAAACAACCATTCCATCCCAGTCACCAGGTACGTATTTATACACATAACACCATGTTTGCCCTTCATGTAATTAGGTGACTTGTGTTCACTCTTCCGATCTGAACTAAAGTTATCCTTGCTCATTGAAACTTTCCCAATTCTCCTAGCTGGGGACAGGATTCTTGTCCTCCAGGGTACTCACAAAAATTTGGGATTAATGCCTATTCACTGTCATTTGTTTGTTTGCACAGCATATTCCTCCCTTGCAACTGCCTTCATGAGAGCTGGAGCACCACTATATGCTATCACAGTGCCATCACACAGAAGGATTCAACAACAGTGCATTCAAAACAATTATCTCTTATGAATGGGACAGAAGAGGTTCCAATCCTTGGGAATGAATGAACAACTGAAGAAATAAACTAACAAATGAAAAACAGAGATTCTCTGTTGTGCAGAGAATTGAAGTGGTCTGATTCGATGAGTAACTACCTTAGATTAGACTTTCACAGAAGGTGATATCTATAAAAAGAAGTGAGCTGTTTAAAGATCAAAGAAGCACAATTAAAGTAGTGGGAATACAAAAGCAGATTACTATAGCAGTTTATATACATTTCTGCCATGAGATTAGAAATATAAAGGCAAAGTAGAAACTTCCCCCAATGATAACTAGAGTTATGTAACCTGGGGTGGTTGAAAGAATTCCTGAAGATATTCCATCTTTAAATCACCCCCAGGTAACTCTGATACAAGTATTCAATTCTTACCTATGCTGTTCTAAGGCCTAAGAGCACTCACAGCTGTCATAAAGCAAGACTCGATGCAATTAAAGTAAGTAAAATGCAAATAAGAGTAGAAGTCTAAGATTACATGGTCACTATAGTGTGGGGGTACAAGCTAAACGTCAAGATATAAACTCTTTCTGAGAACAAGATTGCAGTTTCTTGGAGGCAAAAGAGAATAATCTTTAATATACTTCGGGTAATCTTCTCTTCCTTTGGGATGCTCTGAGAAACTTCCCAAAATAGCTTTCTCCTCTCAACTTCCACAATAGCACAATTACTACTACAAACATGACACTAAACATTTGCCAGTTATATATCTGGCACTGTGCTGAGGATTTTACAGTCATCATTTTTATTTAAATCTCGTAACAACTCTATGAGAGACACTGTTATCATTCCATTTAGCATATGAAAACACTGAGGCTTGAGGAGACAAATGATAACCTGCTTGGAATACATGGACAGCAAGTGGTGGAGACAGGAAGTAATCCCTTTATATTTTAACACCCCCTGAGACAACCCATGAAATTAAAAGACGCTTACTCTTGGAAGGAAAGTTATGATCAACCTAGATAGCATATTAAAAAGCAGAGACATTACTTTGCCAACAAAGGTCCGTCTAGTCAAGGCTATGGTTTTTCCAGTGGTCATGTATGGATGTGACGGTTGGACTATAAAGAAAGCTGAGCGCCGAAAAATTTATGCTTTTGAACTGTGGTGTTGGAGAAGACTCTTGAGAGTCCCTTGGACTGCAAGGAGATCCAACCAGTCCATCCTAAAGGAGATCAGTCCTGGGTGTTCATTGGAAGGACTGATACTGAAGCTGAAACTCCAATACTTTGGCCACCTCATGCGAAGAGTTGACTCACTGGAAAAGACCCTGATGCTGGGAGGGATTGGGGGCAGGAGGAGAAGGGGACTACAGAGGATGAGATGGCTGGATGGCATCACTGACTCGATGGGCATGAGTTTGGGTAGACTCCGGCAGTTGGTGGTGGACAGGGAGGCCTGGCGTGCTGCGATTCATGGGGTCGCAGAGAGTCGGACATGACTAAGTGACTGAACTGAACTGAACTTGAGACAACCCAGCACAAAGAAGATGTTCACTGGCTGCCGTTCTTCTTTGCCACCTGCTGGGCATTATCACACTCTAAAGGGGCAGCCATGCCTGGGGGTGCTGCTTTCTGAAAGTAGACATTGGGGCAACATACAAGCCTCAGGAAAAAGAAAAATTTGGGGATTGAAGGGGAAAAAAGAATTAGCTAAAAAAAAAAAAAAAAGAATTAGCTAAGAAACTAACTGTGATCCTCACTGTGGGGTTTCACAGCTCAAGTGGCACTTTCTAGACTCTGCCAAGGACAAGTGCTTTGCTCATATTCATACTTTCCCATTATTGTCAATTATTATTATTTCTTTGTCCTGTAAGGATTCCCTTGCAGACTGGCATTTTCAATAGCCCATGAGCCCAGGGCAGAAGGTGACTATTTATTCTCAGTGCAGTGATAGTGTTCATTCTTAAAGAGGTTCTATTGGGTTTGTATTTTGTGCTGGGCAAAAACAGACAAGGTCTCTGCCCAGATAAGGAAGACAGGTATTAACCAATTCATCATCCAAATGTGAAATTGGAAGAGAAATGTGCTTTAACTTCTCTATGAATGTACTGAAGTAGAGGAATAAAAATCAAGGTATAAACATTCTTTTTTGAGAACAGGATTGTTTACTGCAGCATGAAAATATTACTATTCTTACAGAACCCTCTGTGTTCTGTGAGAATACAGAAAGGATAACTTTGACTAGTAAAATGCCACAGCTTTATATATATACATATATTTTATAAATTCCATTACTAAATTTAAATTTATATAGAGTGAAATACACAAATCAAGCTTTTGATAAATGCATAAACTTATGTAATACACATCCAGCTTTTTGAGATCATTTTGGCTTCAGTGTTAACAGAACGGGGGTGGGGGGGGGCGGTGGCTGGAGAGGCAGTGACCCCAACATTTCCTATGCAAAGCAAACATCTGGGTAGTTTCTTTAAGAATGCAAATTCTTAGAAGCTATGGTCTCCTCATGAGGGAGGGCCAGACTCCTTCACACACCCTCCCATATACTTCCCTGGGTGCTGAAGAAGGAGGTCCATAAAACTGCCTGTGACCTGAACTGACAGAGAGGGTCTAAGGGCAAAGAGAGATGGCTGAGAGCAAGAATAAAAGACAGACATGCTTCCCATGACAGTATCGTACCTTCAAAACACCACGGGAACAGAATAGACATTCAGGAAAGAAATAGAAGTGCTCAGAGCAGATCTAAAGTAGCTGAGTGCAGCAGAATGCAAACAAATCTCAGTGTTTTCTTGAAAACAAACAAAAGAATCTGCTTGACTAATCTGATGCTGTAAATAATGGGGAACAGTAGATGCAAAGCTGTATAAAATGCTTATATTAGGTCCAAATTAAAAGTGGATTGAGCTGCAACATACTTTCAAATGGAGATGTCAAGGAACAAATAAAAAATTACAAAAATTGATTTTCTAAATTGCCTTCTGTACTTTAAGTGAATTAAATATGGCTGACAACTTCAACAATATTACAAACTTTTTAAAATTCGAGCAAAATATAACAAGCCCTTGTTTCTCAAAAAGGGGTATTTATAAATGAAATAAACATTCTATTCACAACTTCTTTCAAAAGCCAAATTATCTTTTTCTCCTTGGAGTGAAAGAGAACTACTTTCAGTGCAGAGAAGCTTATGCTGGGGAAGATTAAGATGCCTTAAGTGGTTTTCTATCTCACCCTCTGTAATCTTCAAGATAATGGCATATAAAACAGCAAAAAAGAAAGGGCCAGAAGTAGAAAACCAATGGGACATTTTAATAACTGTGAAATGCAATGTTAAGTCATTAAAATGATAATCAAGAAGTAACCATATTCTTCTTCTCACTCCTCAAATTTTTCTTTATTTTCCTGAAATCGGTATCCCTGGTGACTGATGCAACATCTTTGTTCATTCAAGCTCACCACAGTCTATCTACATGACTTCATAAATAAAAGGAAACTGGAAATACGTTCTAATGCCATACGATGTGCTTAATGAGTTGTGGCAAATGGATTGCTTTTCACACTGCTCACCTAGAAAATCTTTGAAATAGATACTCCAATGAAACCACTAAAGCCAATGGAGGATGGCATATTGAAGGGAGTTATCCAAGCAAAATATGCCATTGTACCTGTCGCTAGCATCTTTTATA